TGTATTTAAAATAGCTTGTTCATCATCATGTTCTATACCATCGTAAATTTACCTTGATCAATAGCATGCAATAAGAAGGTGGTGTTCCATATTTTTCTCTAATATCATATTTATTGATATGGTTGATATTTCATGCAGGCAATTCAATTCAATTCTTTATTCGCTCAAAACCAGATCACTGGTACAAGAGGTACATATATACATATATACAGACAAAAAATGACAGTCAAGGATCAAGAAATAGACATGTATATAGAGAAACAAGAAAAGAGTGAGAAAAACGTAGTCATGTAAATGTATAAATAAAACACACGGACGATTCAAGAAGGACAGACAGTTTTAAAAATTTTCTTTATAAATTTTGAAAATGATTTTTGTATTTCTACATTATTACTACTCATTAGCTTATTGAATTTGAAAGTGTTAGGATTATAAAAATATCTGTTTGGGAGAAATATTTTTCTGTTTTCGAAAAGTAATTACATTCCATAATACAATGATATTTATCACCACCAGTTTTAAAATCACAAATGGTACATATTCTTAAATTTCTGTGAATATAATGCCATCTACCCTTTTCAATTGGCAAATCATGATTACAAGTTCGGAGTTTTATAAGTGTACTTAAATCTTTTGGTAAATTCATCAGATAATTTTCTAAACCAAAATCTGTTTTAAAAAATTCTATAATTAATACACTTAGATGAACTATCAACAATGCTTCTTGTTCATTGACATTTTAAGGTATCTTTAGTGATTGACTTAAGCAAATTAAGCCAATTAAAACAAATAGATGATTGACTTGTCCATACATAGGACAATCCACAGGAATTAAGTACATCTTGTACACATTGGATGTACAAGCGACCCAAACGACGGCAAAAACAATAGATTTAAATGCCGAATTAATTTTTTCAACAAATAATCGTTTATATGTCACTCTCTCTCTCTCACTCTCTCTCTCTCTCTGGAGGGGTATAATTGAGAATGTCCGAAATAGCCGAGGAATGTTAAATCTTTAACACAAAAATTTAAATAAAAAGTACGTTTTCTTGAAGTTACTTTTAGCCTTGACCTATACGAAAAATGAAATAAAGCAAAATGTACTTATCCAAAAAATGACGTTATGAGATTTTGCGTTTTTAAACTTTGACTGATTTCGAAGCAAAATGTATTTACCCAAAATCTAATAATTACAGTTTACAAAAAGAACGAGTGCACTTATGGACCCCGGTAAAATGCGAAAAAACAAACAATCAAATTATGAAAAAGTTTTCATCTCAAATCATTTATTGATATCAAAACCATATAATTCAACAAATCGTACTGCTGAAATTTACGAATATACAAAGAACAAAACCATACAATCATAATGTGGTAGAGGTCAGCCGACATTTGTGATTTTCTATAGTAAATCGAGAACAATCATTCATTTCAAAGCTTTTGTTTACTATGAGCCTAACGTTATGCAAACTTGTGCGAATGACAAAAGACGCAAAATATATTTATAACACTTTATGAAAGTTTTTTCTATAGCTAATATATAAATATTGCAAGAAGTTGAGTGTAACATTGAAAATTTTCACCCCAAGACCATTGTGAACCGAAATGCAGGTCGACAATGGGTTTCTTGTGGTTAAAATTTTCAAAGTTACATTCAACTACATGCAATATGTATTATATTATACTGAAATTCCGTGTAGTTGCTATTTTTAGGTCACCTGAATAAACTTAGGTGACCAATTGCTATCCGTTTTCATCCGTCCCGTAGTCGTCCGTCGTCCGTAAACATTTGAACATGTTATCTTCTCCTCTGCATCCATTGAACGAATTTCGACCAAATTCAAAAATAAAGCATCTATGGGTGAAGGGAAACAAAAGTTGTGAATTTCATGATCTTTAACCCCCTGGGGCCTGAGGGATGGGACCAAAACCACTAAAATTAATGCAATCGAAATTAATCGCCCTGCAATTAGGGTTTTTATTGCTAGAGTGGGGCTTAATAAGTATATAGTGAAAATACATTATTTCTTTGAAAATCCCCTTCTCTGCTCCTGGAAATTAAAATAAATTAAATAAGTGCATTGTTATGATGAGCAAGAGTGCTTTTACCAAAACTGTGAAATTTATGACCCCAGGGTCAGGAATTCTGGTGTTAGTGCGGGTTTATATAGATGATATAGGGAAATTCTTTGAAAATCTTCTTTGCTCCTAGGTATTAAATAGGCTAAGTGCATAGTTATGATGAGCAAGAGTGCCTCTACCAAACTGTGAATTAAATGGTCTCAGGGTCAGAGTTTCTTGTGTTATGGGTGGGGCACTATTGATTACATAGTGAAAATACAAGAATTCTTCGATAATTGTCTTCTCTGTCTCTGGGTATGAAGCAGATAAACTACCTATATATTTGTGATGAGCAAAGGCCCTAATCTTGCAGAATTGTGAACTTCAAGGCTTCAGGGTCAGAGGTACCATAGGGGATGGGGGCTGTACTTATATACTGAAAATGAAAGAATTGTTTGAAATCTGCTCTTTGATATTTATCATTTTTTTTAAAGCAAGGATGCCTTAACGTTTCAAAAATTGTGCAGTTTGTGGATCTATGCCTAATGGTCAGGTGTTCATGTGTGGTAAGGGCACTATTGCTGAATATTACTGATTAGTTGAAATATATTTTTTGTTCCCCTACCCTGCCTATTGGCATTACGTAACCAAACTAAGCAACTGCTAAGTGTATTATTGTGTTGATCAATGGTGCCTATTTCAAAATTGTGAATGCCATACCATCTGGCTTAAAACATGAATAAAATTCCATAACTGGAAATGCTCAGGTGACTTATAAGGCCCATTGGCCTCTTGTTTGGAATATCACCAGTTGTCAAGCAATGTTGACTGTTGCTACGCTGGAGGGCGTGGCTTCATTATTCAGAGGGTAATAGTATTTTTATCAAAATAAATGTTTCTCATCAAATCAAATTCAAATAATTAACATGAAAGAATAATATTGAGAAATATTTACCTGAGTGTGTGACCCATGTTGAGCCCACGTGTGGAATATTTTTTTTTAATACTGATAGTCACGTGAGTTCTACCCTAGTAACCATCTCTCAAATGTGCTCACTGTAAAACATAGGTACATGCAGATTTGTATCATTGAGTCAAAGTCGTGCCTCTTTGAGATATTTGTATGTATTTGTTTTTCAGAACACAGGAGGATAGTTTAGTGTCGTTCATAAAACTGTCAGTCATTTTTAACATTCATGCAAGGCAATGAAACAAATATTGAAAGCCACCTAAACACTCCTTTTTAATTTCAAATTCAATGAAACTGTTATTGTAATATTTCAAATACAAGATTTCCATTTTCTTAGTTTGATCATTATGGATACAGGCAACTTCACAATTTCATTCATTTTTTAAAACAGATTTAGCGCAAAAAGTAACATTCCAAAAACCGCGCCCGACTATGATCCATCATCAGATTATTCAGGTGTCGATTAAATATCTCTTCCCCTTGATTTACACAAACGAAACTCAAAGAAGGGTTGGTACGATTTTTCCGGATTTAGGGTATCCATGCATGGGTATTCAAAATATTCCATTGTTTCAAATCCATGCTGATTTATTTGATGCTTAATGTGCTTTTTAGAAATATTCACCAGTATCTAAATTTTACCAAAAGAGATTGATTTGGCTTTATATTCGAAAGTAATATGGCAAATAAAAAGTACCCATTAAGTATTGTTCAAAGGCTATCACCTTTCATTGATCATTGTAAAGAATCTGGGTGGACTAGGCGAGTCAAATGCCTACGCAAGGGCAGGTAAAATATTGATATTTTTTTTTTTTGCAAATTCAACTTTTTGTTAAATTTGGGTGTTATTTATAACCATATACATACATTAAAGACAAAACCTGAATCAAATGACTTACAAATTGATTGTAATTAATCCACCAAAATGTTAACATGCTTTAGAAACCATAAAAATGATAGAAATAGAATGTTAAAACTGTGTTTTATTATAGAGTGGGTCTTCGCACCATTTTTTCGTAAACAAATATTGAAAGGGTGTGGAACGATGTATCTCTCACCATTTTCAAAAAAATGGTACGAAGACCCACTCTACATGAAAAAGTTAGTTTACCTACTTTAATTTCGGAACATATTCTCAAATTACCTCAAGTCTAATTTTGCGTCTGCTATACATATAGAACTGTTTGCTATTTGTCGCGAGTGTTCGAATCACGATTTTTTTTAAGTTCAGCTTGAAATTTAGATAAATATATTTTTTTTCACTAAAAACAAAATGAATAGATAAGATGATGAATTTATTTACGGTCAATTTATATATTTCCTATAATAAACAAGTTTTCAAGATACATGTGTATATAATATTTTGATATGGCTATTCTGCATGCAAAAACAGTTAAAAGGAAAGGTAAAGCGTACCATCTCCAAACCCCTGAAAACATATTTCATAGAACAATTAACACACAGTATGAAAAGCATCACGTTAATGAAAATATTGTAGCGATAACCGCAATGTCTAAAAATAAAGAAATTGTCATTTGGACGGTACTGTACAAAGTTTAAATGTTTAGGTAAATCGTATCGTACAGCTATAAAATTTCCGATATGCTTACAGCGCAACAAATTCCGTGTGGGCATATGACTTGTCTAATCCACCCAGATTCTTTGTAGAACATGCTGTTTCAAAAAATTTACTTCTTTGTGCTAAAATAAATAGATAAAACAAATTTTAAATTCTCTTTTCATTTCATTTTCTTTTCCTTTTTTATTTTTATGGTGTTTCTTGGCATTTTCCTTATTTTGTTTAACATAACGAATTTTAGATCTTAAAAATCATAAAACAGAATGGAAAACAGCGACATGCATGAATAAAGTTAATGAGCAGGAAAATAAATTTCCTTTCAATAAAATGTGTATTTGATATTCGCGATTTTCTTATATTACAGTGAACACACCGTGCAACAAAAAAATGGTGAATCTTAGTAAACGGACGCAGTTATTAAAAACCTTAAAAGAACAAGGGGAGGCTGTACATTACAGAGGAAGATCACAGGGCAGTGTAGATCACGTGACGTGGCTCTGGAGGCACAAAAGACCTGACATCGTGAGATCCTGTATAGGTCTACATCCACACAACGACATTTACATCATCGACAACAAAGCCTACAGGAAACCAAGTAAGTATGGACTACAAAATCAGGAACACCTTGGACCGATTAAAATAAAGAGAGTATTAATGGCAAACGGTTATATTTGAGGATGGCAATTAGAGGATTATTGCTATATGTACTCGATTAGTTGCATTATTTCCATGGATCAACCATTTAACGGAATGGATCAGCTTGATTTCCTGTTTTCAATAATGTTAAAAAAAATTCTCTCAAAAAAGCAATTTCAAAATTTGACGTTATAAACTACAATAATCAGAATAATCAGTACATGTGCTTTACATTAAATGTTCTTAAGGACAATTAAATTACCATGCAGTGCCATTACTATTTTTTTCTTGAAGTAATGCATTACATTACAATTAGGTATACTTGAGTATAGTTATCCATTACCATTACGTTTGGAGGTTTTTCAAAATAGAAATACAAAACTTAACTTTTTTCATAAGCGTATCCACTTCCTAAAAAAAACTAAACATGATAAATGATAATTCAAATTCGATTCAAATATTTTTACTTTTTTCATTAAATTTTGATCATTTGCAACAAAAAAAAATGAAAAATATATATAAATGAGATACATATTCAATAAGAAAAATAACCTTAAAAATATTAATATATCTCAATAACATATAAATAATCTCAAGTAAAAAGGAATCTGATTGTCTGAGGCAGTCATGTTTCCGTCGTGTTCTGCATGTAACAAAACGTCTTTTTCATGACTTTGATGTCAAAATGCAATGACTGATATCGTTATACTGTTGAGTCAGATTGTTTATATTGTTGATTGTGTCAATTTTAACATGTAAAAAATATGAATATTTTCAATAATGTTTCTCATGGGTACGGTCTGTATGTTGCCTTGTGTAAGTCACATGGTAGATTTTTTTTCTGAATTGCGGCTAATGGTATACTAGTAACTTATAGAGCTGTTTCATATTCTTATGTTCATTGAATTTTCTTCATATTTCCTGCATTGATTTGATTTGGTATATTAAACAATTTATTGCATGATAGTGAGGGAGACAAGTAGATTTCTTCTCCCATGAAAAGTCATATTACCCTCGGGCGTTGCCCTTAGGGAATGTGATTTTTCGTGGAAGAAGAAATCTTCCTGTCTCCTTCACTATCATGCAATAAATGTTTAATGTCCATGTCCAATTAATTTTTTGAATAGGTACATGTGCACTAATGCTTTGTAATGTTACAAGTTTATAATGTCATCATCACAATGGATATTATAAAGTAATGCATTACATTACCATTTGATGTAATGCAAATTTTGGGGCATTTCATATTACTAGCATTGCTTTGACTTCATGTAATGCATTGCAATGCATTACCATAATAATTAGCATTACCCTGCCTCCAAAACGTTTTGTCTATCGGAAGCGATTGAACACAATCAGCGATTGATCCCACCTCTGATGTTTCGGGGGTCCGTGTTTGCTCTGCTCTTATTTTGTATATTTGTTAAATGGACGTTGAGATTGAATACTGTTCGTTATTTCCATATCCTTCATCTAAAGAGTAAGAGATATAAGGTGCATCAGACACGTCTTATCCTATTGGAAATGTTCATTATAAGACCACCCGTGCCCCAGTTTTCGTTGCAGTATTGTCAATAAAGGGAGATAAATGGGTAATGCAGTCTTTAAGTGAAAATTGGGTACTGAAAGAAGTAAGTAAAAACTTACACATACACAGACACCCTACCTCTCTCTCTCACGCACACACCCTCTCTTTCACATACACCCTCATAAACCTTTACACTTACACTCACACACTAAATAGAACGGATTTTTGAGTTTGAACAATTTTTCATTTTTTTGTTTGTCCATGATTTATCGAGTATAAGTGAAAAAAAATTCTGGGGTTGCCCCCCCCCCCCCCCCGCCCACCTCCCATCAAAAAGGATGCTACGTCACTAAGGTTACTTCTATATTCCGTGAGTTGTGGTACCTTTAAAGTGAAAATAAAGGAAGAGAAGATTGATTATTCTTCATTTGAAATATCCTGTGCACCTATTAGAAGTATAATAACTTACATGTGTTAGATTTAATGGCAGGAATCAAGCCTCGAAAGGGGAAAAACATGGACATTTGATTTACAAGGATAAACGGATAGTATGTTAGAGGGGTGTGCATCTCACCTGCCATTTGTAAAGGAAAAGACATTTCTCATCCATTTTATTTAATTAAAACCATTCTTTTTTCTTGCAATGTGGGGTTAAATAGTCTGATATGTGAAGTACGTAACAGAGTTTTTAAGAGTAAGTGGTTTATCATCCAAATTAAAAGTCTGAAACCAATTTGCATCGATGAACTTATGGATAAAATTTAAGATATGTCTTTATCTTTATTGACCAGACTCATTTAATACATAGTGAGAAAGGTCTGGTCTTTCTAAAATGGAAAATTCACAAGGAAATAAATAAAGAAAGGATTTATCTGATCATACAAAGACCATTTAAAACAAAGGTAAAATACAAAAAATGAAAGACAAAATGTACATGTACGAGTTGTTTTCATCCACGAGTTAGTGGTCATTCTTTGACTAGTATAGCAGCACTGCAAGATTAGTGTTACTCACCAAGTTGTATATAACGTTATACTTAATTCTACTTTTTCAATGCAAATTTAAGAATGCCAAAATTTATGGTCCCTATCCACATATTAAATTGTTAACCGGTAAAGTCAAAATGGCATATACTAGTACAAAAGTCCCAGAATACATGATACCATATGCATGCATTGTTAAATCATGAAAAGTTTTACCTTAAATTATATATATTAATGTCTGCAGTACTCCTGTACTTTGATTCAATTCAGACCCATACAAGTTAAATTGATGCAAAGCATCAAATTGATTGCAAACAAAATTAAGCATAAAAAAAATCTTTTAAAAATTTTAAAAGCGTCCATGTAAGAAAAGCACGACAAGTTATTAAAAGGTGAAATAATTGAATCATTTATTTCAGTTTTCAAATCAAAATAAATAATTTTGAAGAATTAAAAGAAAACATTTAATGCATTTGCTCATAAATAGATCCATCGATGTAAAAAAAAAGTACCCATGATCGTTTATGAATGATAAGAATTAATTGTCATCAAAATGAAGATGTAGGACTGTCGAAATGAACCACCTACTGATACTCTCCATCTTGGTCACGTAATAATGCCAATGGTAGAATAGGCTATGCTGCAAGTGTAAAAAATATATCTTTGTGTCATTTGAAGCTGTAGAACATATTCAACACAATTTTCACTATTGAAAACCGTTTCTTTTTTTGACCATGCACTATTACCACGTTATTATTATACGGGGGTCGTGACAATATCCTTTCATATCTTACATACTCCCAGGCTGGGGAGAATCTATTAAACTCTTTTAACATAAACCAAAAATATCAGTTATCATTTCTGTACGTATAAAATAATTTTTATGAAGGCAATCCTAGAAAGACTCTGTTTTATTAGAATTGTGTTTTTCGTCTAAAAATCAAAAACGTATATAGTAGAATTGTCTAAGGTAAGTATACTTTGATAAATGTATGAATACGCAGGCCTGTAATCGGTTATACATGTAATCCTTTAACTCTTTGATTTCATTCATTTTAGGTGAACATCATAAATATTCAGAATTGGACAGAAGTATTCTTTACAGTTTACTCTTGTGTGACAAGTACACGAGTGCAGTAAATGAGGTGGCGTTCAAGTCAATATTAATAAAGGTACGAGAAAGGTATTTTCAAAGGATTTCTCCGTCTGATGATGTTGATGTGACATCCCTTCAAGATGATGTTATGGAAACCCAGAATTGTGAGGTAACGTTTATATCAGACGACATTCGACATGACGTCATGTACGCCTTTGTTACGGAGTGTCTGGTGGAGGACAGTGACCTTGAGTTTTTCCTGACCACGGCGTCACGTGATGTTATCTCTGAATACTGCAGGTCCTGGGGTTATAAGAGGAGTGAGAGAGAGAGATGTCTGTATGTACCGGGCTATCCAGAGGAGATGTACGACCTCTTCATAGACAAACTACAACTGGACATCATTACACATTGCACCGTGTCTGACAGTGGAATTCGTGACAGGATCAGTAAACGTTGTGAGTATTGCTTGTGAAAAAATATTATTTTTTATACCCTAACAAAAAATACTATAGTTAACTATAGTTAGCTATAGTAAATCAAAATGTCAAAGTTTTGGATAAAGTTTTCAAAGTGTCAAAGTTATCACTATAGTTAAATTTAGTAAACTATAGTAAACTATAGTTAACTATAGTAATTTTTGCTCGGGTATATACGTTTGAAAGTTTACCTTCTTCTTTCATATTAATCTGTATTTCTCATTTGTACCATTTTTCATAGTTTTTAAGATCCCTACCCATGCATGCACCTTTTGATTAACTATCAAATTATTGATTGGAATATGATTTACTATATGCTGCATTTTAACTTCTAGTTCTATTTAAAAAAGGCATTAAAATAAAAGAAATTTCTACGTCTTTTTAATATTGAATCGGCAGTATAGTGGATGCATTTGAAAAGTGAAAATTTTATTGTTGCAAAGACTGATATTTAAAGTTTCTTTCGCAGCATCGGATTCTTGTGAATGAAAAATGTTTTCCTGATATTGTGTTTTAGTTTAAGATATATTTTATTCATATACAGAAATGTATTGTGTTTTAAATGACTAAATTATGGCATTTATATTTACGCATTTTTTCCAATTCATTCGCCAAACGATTTAAAAGGATAATTTTATTATTGTGCATTTTAACTCAATAAAAATTACATGTCCCCGATAACCCCAACCCCCACCCCACCCATGTCCAATACTGTGTAAATGATCTGCCTCATTGTCATCTTTTTAAACTCAGTTTCTCTGTGGAGCGACGATAGCGTGTTAAAATTTCTAAAGGAGCTGTATCTAACTTTTTTTAATCAACCCAACATAAAATTGCGTTTTTCATCTCGGAATCTATGCTTACTCCCAAAATAATAAAAAAAACACACACACCATAGATTCTAAATGACAGAATGAATTAAGTAAATTGTCAGAAACATGATGGAGGAGGGATGTCAAATCTACGTACTGCCTTGAACAACCACAAGTTCCCCCCCCCCCCTCCTTGCTGACACTAAACATGGAGACAAATTTAAATTAATGCACATTCATAAAAACGCAAACCAAATTTATGTTAGATAGTTCAAATAATTACCTATTGTCGTCAATCGTCGAGTGTAGGACTTAAAGAGGTTCATAACATAGTATTCAAATCTTGAAAGAATTCTTTTACATTAATGATCTATAACTTAGTTAGTGCTACATCAGTTAGTATATTTAGATATTTATAATCCGTTTCATGTCGAGAAAAAGAAATGTTAAAATGATTTTCGTCTTTTAAATGCACTGAAAAAAAACTGATGAGTCGTCTTTTTTAATCCTGGTATTTTCATTTATCGGGTTATATATACTGACACTCAAAAGAAACGCAACACCCTATTTTAGGGGGAAATAATTACGTAAAGTAAAGAATTTCGTATCTTAAAATTATGAATAACTTCAATTTGGTAAATATCAGTAAATAAACGGTTGAACAATTTCCATAGCATAACCGGAAGTCAAGTTTTAGTCTGCTTAACAGAAATCAAAAATTGCATGTTTAACAAAACATTTAGCAATATTATGGAATTTTAAAAGCTTTTTTACTGTTCATCATAAGTAATGCAGCAATATTTCAAAAAATAAGCTCTACTTTCGTTTCCCGAAACAATGCTTAGGCTACTTGAAAATGGCTTATTTACGCAATTCCATTGCTCTAGCCGGAAAATTTCAATCTAAAGGTGATGGAGAGTTGCTGATGCGAAATTTCACTACATTTCTCCTCAACAGGGTCTTGCGTATCATATGCATTCAGGACAGTCCTTGTACCGGAAGTCCAAGGGTGACTACACTGCTATAAGTTAGAGAAAATTCGACCCACTTATCTGAAAAACGGGCATTTTAAAAATGTCAAAGAATGATACTTCGCTGAGATCTCGATATTATTGAACTTAAAGTATCGTAGAAATTAAGCTGCAATTGTTGTTTAGGGCAGTCTTGCATGTTTTACTTGAATGGCTTGGAGGGGGGTGTTTTAACAGTCATATTTTACTTAGTAAAGTGAACAGATGAACATTTAACAATTTTTTTTCAAATCTCTGATGTTCTGAAAAGTGAATCTAGCCTTACTTTATTTGCTCTTGAAAATCATAAGATTAAAAATCAAACATTTATAAATAACTGCTTGTTGCGTTTCTTTTGCGTGACAGTATATATATTCTTGCTGTATACGCTTAAATCTATTTTCATTTTAAATTTTTTCCAATTTTTTATATGGACAGTAAAAGTTCCAGAGGAAATCCTAAAATGGGACCAGAAAGCCAGAGAGCGGTATGTTCAGTACGCCGAGAGAGGGGGAATACAGAAAGTCCATCACGCCAGGGGGATGATTGTAGGATGTGCTGGGGCCGGGAAAACAACACTACTGAATTGTCTTCTCAAGCGAAGTATGAAGGAAATAGAGAATTTGAAGTCAACAGAAGGTCTTGAGGTTCACGAGGAAATATTTGAAATCTGTGAAGAAGAATGCATACTAAAAGGTACATCAATTGAAATTATTTAACTTTTTATTTTAATTTATATGAACTAAATACCAGGCGAAAATTGGAGAATATAAGTAAGAAGGCGTTTTTTCTCAAGGGCATTTGTATTCATGTTACATTTTAAAAAAAATAAACTTATCATGTAACGTAATATGATTGTGATATTTGAAAAGCTGCAGGTCTGTAGCTCTCCGAAAAAATATATATTGATAGACTGGAGAGCTACAGTGTCATCCATTAAAAAACTGTATATTTATTGCGCACAAAAAAGTGCGCTCGGTTCTCGATTTATTTCTCCATGTTTTTAAACTGTGATCTCAAAACATTACTAACTGTGTATTCCCAACCTATTCTTTCGCTTTTCCACAACCAAAATTTCCTCATAATTGTTGTAAATAATCCATCTGACCCTGATATTGCATGCATAGAACATTTCGCTTATTTATACTGCCATTTTGGATATCAAAGATATGCTTCGTTCAACAACGAGGTTACTTGATAGAGGAGAAAGGGTTGTTTAAAATCTTCCCGTTTTGCAGCTGAGGTAAGAATTTGGAAGAATTAATCAAGAACCGAGCGCACTTTTTTGTCCGTAATAAATATACAGTTTTTTTTCAATAGGTGGTACTGTAGCTCTCCGGTCTATCAAAATTTTTTTCGGAGAGCTACAGGTCTGCAGCTAGATATTTGAACTGATTTATTCTGATTTTTGTGGATGGGGTGGGATGGTAGCTTGGCAGACTTGTCAGTGCCAAAAGATTGGAAGAACCTAATTTATAGATTGTGGTATTCATGCATTAAAGTTAAAGAATATGTTTTTTATTTAACTTTCACTTTAGTGATTATAAAAGGCGCATGGACACAGTTTCAACTGATTTTTTAAACCAGTATAAATAACATATATAACAAAAGCATGACATGGGCCTTAACAAACTTTTTCAGTTCTAAATCTTTCTTGTATCTCGACCACTGCATTTCAAACTTTTGTTAATCATTTGAAATAAGAGTTGAAATCATAAAAAATGGAAAATTATATTTGAAAGTTTTCATCTGACATTGAGTCCTTGTCCCTTTAAGACACAAAGATATAATTGTATTTGTGGGGGGATGGTACGGAGAGACAATAAAATTACGGACGGTATTTGGAAACGTAATAATTTTAACTATTTTTTTGTATTTTTGATAACTTCTAGCATTATAGGATACCGTTTCTCAGAAAGAAATTAATATGAAATACGTGTAATAATCATTTGAAATCGATAAAAAAGTGAAATATAAATAAACTTTGTAGGATATATGAAAAATGTTCAGGTATTTTTTTCATGAAAGTTTCTTGATAAAGATCAGAAATTGAAAAATGGGGTAGGGAAAAAGATCCAACTATGTTAGGTTAAAAAACGTACTAGTATTGAAAAAAATATGGCACAATGTTACTATTAATACAGGCACAGGGGCCACATCGCTCACCTGAGCAATTTGCAAGGTAAAATAAAAAAAATCTGTTCAGTATTGAAAAGTTTGAATACCAAAAATATAAAATGGGTTTAGAGGAGCGGGGAGGGGGGTATTTGAACAACCTTGCACGCAAATAGTAAAATTCAGAATTCCTATACATCTCGTACAACTAGGAAATCCCGTCTTGTGTCTCTAACAGTAGTTTTGTTGGTAAAGGTTTCTCTCTGCCACGGTCCGTTGAATCCCATGCAATTCAGTCAAATGGTTTGTCCCTCGATGACGAAGATAATAAAGACAGAGACAAACAAATAGCGGATCTCGAGGACCTCAGACCATTTACCAATCAAAGTAATTTTCAATTTTGAAATACGTAGACGTTCTTTAAGAAATTCTCAATTAAAACTACCAGCATGGCATACGGCTACACTTGAATCTGTTGTATAGTATAGAAATCTGGAAGATTTATCTAGCATTGCACTTAGCGATGACAAGGACATTGTCAAATTCGTAAATGAGTTATCCCTAGCATTATAGTCTTGTGCCGAATTGTCTATCCCGTTCTCGTCCTACAACCCCCATACAGGGCCTGAAGGAACAAAGATTGTCAAACACTTACACACGATGGAACGATCTAAGCGAAGAATCTGGATGTCTGAGGGAAGACTTCGCGGTATGCAGTTTTCTTCCTATCGTCCTATCGTGAATACAAACAAGCAAAACGGCTATTTCTTAATGCTCTTAACACAGAACATGAGAACTATATGCGCAAAGTATACAGTGAAATCGATCAAGCTGCTGAAGGTGATGTTAGAATGTCCTGGAAATTGACTAAACGAAGGAAGCCTAGAACATCAAGAGTGTATCCCGAGATCTGTGATGAAAATGGTGTGACTCACACTGATCCACGTGGTGCAGAAACTTTTGCTTATTCTAAAAGAAACTTTACACCCCATTAGACGAAGTTAATTTTGATAACGAGTTTAAGAAGAGTATAGAAGAGAAGTTTGAACATTTAACAAACGAAAGTGAGATAGCTTTCATCAAATTCCAGGAGGAATAATAACAATAAAGGAAATTATCACCGCTATTGACACTTTAAATCTACGGAAAGCACCTAGACATGAATTAATAACGAATGAACATATAATACACGGTGATAAAAGACTTACCTCATGTCTTATGAAGTTATTTAACGCAATTGTAAATTGTGGTCATATCCCTGTTTGTTGGAAACGTGGTCTGATAGTTCCATTATACAAAGGTTGCAATAAGCCTAAAAATTCCCGTAACAGTTACAGGCCTGTAGCCTTATTGCCTTGCTTTTTTAAATTGGTTGAAAAAGTTATACATAATCTTATTACTAACTATGTTTTACTCAATAAAGATTTCCCACACACTCAACAACAGGTTTCTCAGAAAGAGTTAGGTTGCTTGACAGCGTCGTTTAATCTACAAGAGACAATTCTACATAACTTGGAACAAGGTAGTAATGGCTACGTGAGTTTCTTGATACCAGGCAAGCATTTGACACGGTGTAGAGGCCTGGTCTCATGCTCAAGTTATACGATCTTGGCATTACTGGTAGATTATGGTCTCTAATCAACTAATGTCACCAAAATACAGTTAGTTCAATTGTTGTAAACCAAACCCAGTCAGATTGGATTCCGGTTAATCAAGGTGTCAGACAAGGAGGAGTACTTTCGACCTTCTTATACCTTGTCTTTATCAATGATCTCATTCGTGATCTACAGTTGGGTAGCCCAAATACTGGGATATTAGATATCCCTAGCAACTGCCCCTCCTTAGCTGACGACCTCTTATTAATTGGCATTTCAGCATTAGCACTTCAAATGCAGTTAGACATCGCATACAGCTACATGGCGATTTACATTTAATACGTCCAAGTCCTGTGTCTTACAATTTCAAGCCAAAGGTTCAAACCTAGATCAAAATCATGGCACTTGGGCCCCTCCGAAGTATCATGTGAACATTCTTATAACCACTTAGGAATCGTTATCAACCATAAGTGTAAACAATCTGAGAGAATACACGAAGCTTGCAATAAAGGACGCAAATCTTACTTTGTACTATCCGATCTTGGTACACAGTTTCTTAATCCCAAAAAGTTGTCTCATTTGTACAAAACGATCGTGCTACCGTCAGTACTTTACGGTTGTGAACTCTGGAACAACATGACATCCGCTGATAAAGTTCGACTCAACACATTCCAACACTTAATTTGCAAAAACTCAACCACGTACCAAAATTTTGCCGGTCAGACATGCGTGATTCATCTTTGACTTCTTACCTATATGCTCTGAAATGGATGCACGTAGACTTTTATTTTTTGGAAGATTAATTCGTTTGAATCCAAAGACAAAAGCAAAATCAATATTTCTTGCAAGACTATTTTCTTACCTCCACAGCCTCTTGGATGATCAAATGTGGCTTTATTCCTGATATAATAAGGACTCTCCAATCATACAACCTTGTGTCCGTTTATGGAAATTTCTTGAGGATGGCTCTTTCCGTTTGAAATCTGCTTGGAAGAAAATGGTACGCGTCAATGTCATTGCTTCACATATATCTCAGCGCCAAATACGAATGTCTCACGACCCTGATTTTAATTCCTACACACAAATTTTCTCGGACTCGAAACCCTTCTCTAACTGGAATAAAGCCGAAAATTGCAAAGAAATTGAACTCTTCAAGTTTATCTGTAAACTGTGTACCTACTCATGCTCAAACGAACATCTCGAAAACTGTGCCATTTGTGGAAGAACCTTCTCTTTTGTTTTTCAACATTCCACGTGTACATGTCCTGCAACCAGTGAAGTAAGAAACAACTGGTGGAATGTGATCACGAACTATTTTGACATACGTCTATCCGCAGAACTGTGTGGCTTAACCGAAAATGAGTGGTTTTTAGTTCTACTGGGCCGCCATACAAATTATGAATCAGACAGTGAATCTTTTCTCTTATTGAATTTCAACCTTGTTCGAAGCGCAGCTGCACACTACAGCGGGCACTTCATTAACGCTGTCAGGCACAAAATAATGTGTTACTTCCCCCTTTTCTCTTTCTGTTTTTCCCCTTTTTCCCATTTCCCCTCTCATCCTCAACAGTCCTTTGATGGTTTTGTAAATATGTTTCTGTTTTGTTTATGTGTATGTTTTTCTCATATATTGTCTTTTGTGTTTTTCATATTTTTCTATGTTTATTATAACTGTTTAAATGGAACTAATGTAATTAGTGTAATATTTATTTAATTGTATGTCATAGTTCATATATCTCCATGAGGAGAAAATAAAGAATGATTGATCGATTGATTGATGAAAATTATCATTTATAAAACCTTTATACCAATTTATTATGATAATCTCTAATGACCCCTCTTTTCTCCCAAATGTCACAATGTAAACAAGTTTGAATTTATATGACCTTTTTGATGCATTAATGATGATGATGATCAATCATAGCTTTGTTGTTTTTGTGAAGAATTTTAAACTTTTTTTCCATTTATTTATATAGAGAAAATTCA